TGCTCTAGAGGCAAGGAGGCTGGGAGAAACGCGGGGCCGGAGCTCTTCCTGGCCTGGGGGTGACTGAGAACAAATGTGATGGAGTGAAGGAGGCATGTGACTTGGGAGCCAGCCGCCCTGGGAAGGCTCCTGCCAACCCAGTGCTTTGTTGTTGGTGGTTCACATCTACCAACCGCTCCGTGGGAACCCTATGAAGGGCTGGTACTGACTCATAGCGACCCTGTATAGAGTTTCCTAGGCTGTAAATCTCTGAAGGAGCAAAAAGTCTCATCTTTCTTCTGAGAAGCAACTGGTGGGCTCAAACCACTGACCTTGTGGTTAGCCATCCAGTGTTTATCTGACAGAACCACAGGGCTTGGGAAGTCACTAAATCGAGCTTCACTGTCCTCATCTTGCAAAACCACTGCCAATATTAAAGTGCTTGATACATCAAAATGCACTTTCTTCCCGTCATTTGACCAATATTTACTGCGTTCTTGCTGTGTGCCAGTCCTGATTATAATGCACCATGCAAATGTTAATTATTGCTAATGATATTGCTGTTCTCCCTCCATGTCCCTCACCACAAAAGGGACAAGGTCAGGTCTTCCTGCCAACTGCCTGCTTATACATTAGTGCAATCATTCATCAAAGAAGTACAATGACAACACGTGGCAACATGGGGCTCAGAAGAAGTACACCAGAATGTTCCTTAGACGTGAAGATGGCAACATTTCATCTGTCTTAGTAAAGTAGTTAAGTGCCATTGAGTCGATTCCCACCCTTGTATAGGGTTTCTGAGGAGCGGCTGGTGTGTGTGAACTGCCAACCTTGTAGTTCAAACTGACCTTGCAGTCCAGCACATTATCCTGGAGTGCCCCATACCAGGACTCGCAGAGGGTCAGTACAGGAGGACCCTCAAGAAGATGTACTGTCACTGGTGGTAGCAATAAACTCAAACACAGCAACAATTGTGAGGAAGGCACAGAACGCAGTGATGATTTGTTCTGCTATGCGCTAGACTGAACCACAAGGTCAGCAGTTCAAACCCACCAGTTGCTCCTTGGAAATCTTATACTGGGTCCGTATACGTTGAAATCGACTCAATGGCACTCACAATAATACATAGGGTCACTATGAGTCAGAACCAATTCAAAGGCACCGAACAAGAACAACATCATAGAGCAACAACATCATAAGAAAAAGAGTCCTAAGCGAACATGCCAGACTGTGAGTGACAGACATTCCCCCAAGACAAGGGTTGTTGTTGTTAAGTGCAGTCAAGTTGACTCCAACCCATAGCGACCCTGTATAGGGATTCCAAAGAGAAGCAGATGAGCTTGAACCACCGAACTTGCAGTTCGAATGACTTTGCAGTCTGACGCATTAGTCCACAGTGCCACATCCGGACTGCAAGGGCAGTGAACTAGAAACAAGCTAAAGATGCACGGACCCCGAGTGTTTACTCAGAGCAGCAGTAAGAGTTCCCTACGTGGTTGGTGCCAATTCTAGTGCTCAGGACCCTGAGGACCGCAGCCTTACACAAGCCCTGGCACGTGTTGGTTCGGCACACACATCCACCACTACTGGCTAAGACAGGCCACATATTGGTGGGAGTTACAGGACAGAATGAGCACAGTCAAGTGCTGGGTCACCAGGTTCCCTAGGTCTCAGGACAGGAAGGAGCAGGTTCAAAGGGAATCCCAGCAACATCTCTCCAAGCCTATACTATTATTTTACTCCTCTGGCCCCAAAAGATTTCTCAGAAGGCTTCCTGAGATGAGGGAAGGTGCTGGTATAGAAAAAACTCCACAGATGTTCCAGACTGGGCTTTGAAGGAAGGCCTTGACCTTCAAGAGTGAGCTGAACCAACTAAACATGTTGGTGGCACGGATCCAGGTCTTCATTCCAGCATCACCCCTTGTAGGTTGCGATGACTTTGAGCGATTTGTGTCACCACCCCCTTGATCTTTTCTAACCTGGGAAATGGGGACCAGATTTGCCTGAGAGGGTGTGAGGACAGGGCCGTCACCCCAATACTGCTCCTCTGTCCTGGTTTCCTGTCCTTCTGCACATACATTCTCGTTCAGAGCCCTATTCAGTTCTTCCAACAACCGTGGAGCAGGCAAGGACAAGTGTGACCATTTCACAAGGAAACGGGCCCAAAGACATGAGGTGACTTGCCTGGCAACTAAGTGGACAAGCCAGATGATGACTGGCTATAACAAAACCTCAGCGTCCAAAGGGCTTTCAAACACATCATCCCATTGAGTCCTCCACACAAAGACCCAAGAGTTGGTGCCAGAAACTAAACTCAAAACCATAAATTTCAAAAAAGACCAGGCTTACTGGTGAGATAGTAACTAGTGGAACTCTGAGAATGCGGCCCTCAAGTACTCTTCAGGTCTGGAACTGAACTCCGCCCCCCGCGGCTCAATTTTCAGCCAAACAATAGACAGGTCTGTAAGTGGAACAATAGGCCTAGGGAGTAAACACACCTCAGAATAATCAACCACAGGCAGCATGTACAGCGAGTCCAGCACAGTTAGGAAGGAAAGGAGACAGGAAACACAGGGAGGAAGTAGGATGAATCATGTGACTTTGAGAGGCTCTCAACCAATGAGAGGAAACACAATGTGTATGAACTGTTGCATGGAAAAGTGATGATCTGCTCTGTAAACCTTCACCCAATTCACAATATAAAGTTAAAAAAAGAAAAGGTTGGAACCAGAGCTGAAGTCCAGCACTTCCTGTCTGAGGTTTGGGAACTTTCCACGCTCCTTGCTACTTGCCAGCACAGGCTTTCTCCCAAAAACCTTCCTCACTTGTTGAAGGGAAACCTGCCCGTGGCAAGAGAACAGACAAGGTAGAGGTGGGAAACAGCACCTCTGGCCCACACTGAGATAGTACCCCAGTTCAAACACCGACACCTACCTTTTAGGAAAAATTTACCATAATGCCTATCAAGCTCGTAAATCTTTCACTTAACACATGATGGTATTGCATGAAAAATGACAGCTGCCCTTCCCTTGTTTGCACTGATGAAAATTGATCTTTGTGGGATTCAAAGTCATCTTTCAGTTTCTTCTCTTTCTACACTCAGCAGAGCAAGAGCACACACTGTTGTTGCTGTTACATGCCGTTGAGTTGGTTCCAACTTTTAGCGAACTTATGAACTACAAAACGAAACACTGTCTGGTTCTGCACCACCCTTACAATCGTTGCTATACTTCAGCCCACTGCTGCTGCCACTGTGCCAATCCATCTTGTTTTGGGGTCTTCCTCTTTTTCACTGACCCTCTACCTTACTAAGCATGATGTCCTTTCCCAAGGCCTGGTCCCTCCTGATAATCTGTCTGAAGTATGAGAGATAAAGTCTCACCATCCTGGCTTCTAAGGAGCATTCTGGCTGTACTTGCAACACAGATTTGTTCATTCTTCTGAAGGCATTTCATGGTATGCTAACGTTCTTCTCTAACACCATTACTCAAATGCATCAATTCTTCAACGATCTTCTCTTAAATAGAGAAAGTATTTCACTTACTGAATGATCTCTCTCAGTTAGCAATGGAAATGACAATATTCTAAGAAACTGCTTTTTGGTGGTGCCCCCTTCAAGTGGGGCCCAGAATATATGACACTTGTCAGACCTGAGATACGCTCCTGCAGACAAGATGTCATCCCCAGATCCCAGCAGCCTCTGGTCTTCTAAAGAAGTCCGAATAAGAGCATTAAAAACTCCCTCCCAGAAATATCGACCAGAAACAGCGCATTCTCAATGGAATCCAGATTCCTTGGAACCAAGGAGGTTGGATGAACCCCCCCAGAAATGATAATATGAAATCATCTTTAAACCTCAAACCAAAACTATCCTCTGAAGTCTTCTTTGAACCTAAACGGAGCTTATCTTCATTAATAAAGTACATCCGTTTTGAACAGTGTTTTCTTTCAAAGAACTATCTATGTGTGGTCAAACTGACAACAACTTGAAAGGTTAAGTGGAAAGTTTAGGGAACAGTGACTTTAAGATGATGATGTTGTTGTTAAGTGATGTTGAGTCCAGAAAGTTCTGACCTTTAGCAACCCTGTATAGGGTTTTCGAAGAGCAGCTGGTGAGCTTGAACCACGGACCTTGCAGTTCAAACCGACTTTGCAGTCCAGCACACATTAATCCACAGCGCCACACCAGGAGGCTAGCGACGATGGTGGCACAACTGGCAAATGAATCCAACATCACTCAATTGTACATGGAGAAATCGTTGAAATGGTGAGATTTTGGCAGTGTATACTTCCACCAAGGAGTCCTGGTGTGGCGCTGTGGGTTAATGCGCCAGACTGCAAAGCCGTTTGAACTGCAAGGTCGGCGGTTCAAGCACACCAACTGTTCCTCGGAAACCCTATACAGGGTTGCTATGGGTCAGGATCGACTCAACAGCACTTAACAACAACTTCCACCAAATTTAAATATATTTAACTATATATTTCAAACTACCTCCCAAGGTGAACAGCATCCATCTCCTGGAAATTTCCATTCCAGAGAAAGGACCCCCCTGTCAAACAATCTCCTAGAACTACAGGTCCCCCAGTGTGTCCCGGCTCAGTGGGTCATCCCAAAGTGCCATCTGCCAGAGCAAAGCCTGTGGAGCACCCGCAAATGGGTCCAGTGAACACAAGGGAAAGCGAACAAAGACTCACAGGCAAACAAACACAATCAAGAGAGAGGAGAGAACATTTAGCCTTTCGAAGCATTGTGAGAACTAAAGCAAAGGTTTTAAACTCTTGAATGTGACCTTTTCAATTGTTGGATAAAGAAAGCTCTTGAGTTGCTTAGCAGCCTGGCTGATTAATGTCTGTACATTACCTTTCAACAACTGGCAGCTACCCTTTCCCACATGGGTACATAAAACTACCTTTCCCAGGTCAGGCTGCACCTGTCCACATCATCAGTCTGCAGGCCAGGCCACGTGCCTTAGAGCGCACGAGTGAAGGTGGTAGTGGAGGTCGGGGGTGCTGTTTCTTACCAGGATCTGTGCAGTTCTTCGTTGCCTGAGTCCCGTTCATTGGTGCCATCAGCTTCCTATTTCTCCATGAGTCTGGTGGAGCATGTTTGCTAGAAGAAGCAGTTTTGTGGCCTGGATTGAAAAATAATTCAATGTAGTCGCCATATTCGCAAACTAACCTCAAACATGTGTATCAAGTTATATAAGCCAGAGTCCCGCTTGACTCCTGAGAGTCACCTAGAGGAGCGATACAATGATAGAACTACCATATCACCTGCTTACCTAGAGTAATGTTTCTTGATCCTAATTCATTGTCTCTATTTCCAGGTGGGTCAAGAACATGGGATCTGATTTAGGGCAAGATCTCCTTGGTCTAAGCCCCTCAGAGGTGCAACAAAATGTTTGGATCCAGTAGCCACTGAGTCAATTCCCATGTGTGCCAGAGTACACCCAACCTCCATAAGGACTTCATGACTGATTTTTTGCAACTAGATCACCAGGCCTTTCTTTCGAGGTGCTCCTAGGTGGTTAACCATCAAGTATGTTAACCATTTGCATCACTCGGAGACTGGATTGTTGTTGCTAAGTGCCATCGAGTTGGTTTCAACTCATAGCAACGCTGTATAGGGTTTCCTAAGAGCAACTGGTAGGTTTGAACTGCCGACCTTGTGGTTCCCAGTCCAGTGTTGATCAATCCTAGAGAGCCACACCAGGAGTCCCAGGGGCTGGATAGGTGACTATTAAGTTCTCTTCCAGTAAACAAATTCAGGCAGCCCCTGCCCTGGTAAACTCTACAACCCAAAACCAAACCCTCTGCCACAGAGTCAATCCCAACTCACAGAGACCCTATAGGACAAGACAAAACTGCTTTGTAGGGCTGCCGTATCTTTATGGAAGCCAACAGCCTCATCCTCCTCCCTCAGAGCGGTGAACGCTTGACCTTTCAGTTAGCAGCCCAACTCATAACCCACTAGGCCACCAGGGCTTAAGGCTACAAATGGGGAGTTAAGTCCACATGCAAGTAGAGAAGGTTGATGGAGAAGCACTGTGCTTCCCACACTTGAATGTATGCACACATCCCCTGGAGAAGTTAAAATGCTGATTCTGTTTCCGTAGACCTGGGGTGGTACCTATGAGTTTGCACTTCTAACAAGCTCCCAAGTATTACTGATGTTACAAGGGTCACCCAGGAGTCCAAGGGAGAATGTGCGGATCCCAGTGAGTGTCCAACTGCGATTAAACTCCAAAATTCCTGATCTAGCAGATAAATGATTCTCACATTCCGACCTTTACAGTATTCATTTACCTCTTCTGATGCACACAGAGCTCGGGCTGAATAATAATGCCTCTTCTATATTGCTGACATCTAAGAGCCTCTAGGTATTTTGTTATTTCTGGTGAGTGTAATTGAGGGGGGGAAAAAAAACCCAACACAGCAACTTGCCCAGTTGCAAAGCTCCAGGTATTAAGATGTTCAAATAACCATTCTGGATTTATGTTGGGAAAGGCATGTTTTTTAACACTATAGTGTCATATCCAGAGTTTGAGTTTTGAAAGGCAGTATTTATTTATTTAGTTTAAGTTCAATTAAGTTTCACCTATTTCTACCTGTCACACAAACCTCTCTAAGTCTCTAGATGCTTATGACCTTTCTCGTTGATCAAGAGAAGGGACCACAGGGCTTTACAACCTCCACGTTGAGGATGCTGTATCACCTACATTTCTTTTAATGTGAAAAATAAAACAAAATAAAAGGTCAGGACATCCTCCTCCAAACGGGAATTACAATGATGTGAATGTTTTCTGAAGGTTACCCAGGGGCACACATCCCGACAAACACACAGGTTTGCAAAGTTTCTTCATTTTCCCCAGCTCCATCTTAAATTTGCATACCCTGGGGGACTCACCACTCCCTGGCCTCTTGGAGGAGGAGGGTGTGGATTGTGGCATAGACTCAAACCCTTTCCTTCCGTGGGGATTAAGAGGAGCGAGCGGAGTAGCGCTGAAACGTGGCAGCAATCCCAGGGACTAAGGGACAGACTGCCCCACATTTTTAGGGTTTGGGAAGGACGCGTCAGGAAGAACATCAAGGACACCTCGTTGGACCTGGACAGGGGAAGGGTTGGGCCGAGAAGCAATACAGATCCCAGTCTCTGACTTTGGGCTTTCGAGGGACGAGACGATAATGGACCACTCTGTTTTGCACCCTTCTCCCGCCCCAGAGCAGGAGAATCCACTCCTGGATCCTACCGCTGCCCTGACCCTCCCCGGGACACTCTAGGGACAGAACTCTGGCACCAAGGGGCCAGCAGTTTAGGCTCTCGTCTTCACAGTAACAGACCCGCAGTTGAGACCTTAGCCCCCAGGGGCTGCGCGCAGCTCAGAGCGCGGATACCTGCCCTCCAGGGTGCACTCTACCTGCCCGGCGGGGAGGGGGCTGAAGAAACCCCAGAGACCAAAGTGGCGAAGAAGGGGGAAACATCTCGGAGCTACCCCATCAGCTTCCCAGCCCAAGCCCCCCAATTCCTGGGGCAGGGGCGGGGGCGGCCTGCCGCCGACACCTACCCAAGCTGCCGAAGAGGCTGGACGTACAGCACACCAGGGTCAGCACGGCGCAAACGAAGCCAACTTGGTGCGGCAGCATCTCTCGCCTATTGCGAACTTTGCGCGGCCGAAGGGGCCCGCGGAGCGCCATCCCGGGGTGCGTGGGTGCAGTCCCTACGAGGAAGATCTTCACGGCCGGAGTCCTCTGGGTAGCTGAGACGCGATAAGGTTGGAGCAGGCGACGCGGAGCTTAGAGGCGAGGGGCTCCGGGCCAAAGCCTCATAGCCGGCGGGTGAGATCTACCCGAGAGTACAGGAGAAAGAGAGGCGGTAGGACGCGCGGCGCCGCTGGGGCTCAGAATCCCGCGCGCGGCGTGCGCACTCTGCGCACCATGGCTCCGGGGCGAGGAGGCGACGCTGGCGCGGTGGCGGTGGCGGCCCTGGTTCAAAGGGCTGGCGCAGTCCTGGCGCTGGAGCTGCTACCTGGCCGCACCGCCTCGGCGCACTCGCCCAGGGGCGCCGATTGGGCACGCTCAGTGCGCCCCCGCGCCCCGCGCCACCGCGCCCACTCGCAGCATCCTCCCCTTCCAAGTTTGGCAGCGGCCACGCAGCGCGCCCGCCGGCTCCCTTCCTGCTGGCGAGTCGAGCCTCCGCGTCTGGGTCCGCACGGGAGAGGCGGTGGGCTGAATACGCCGGACCTAGGGACCGCTGCCGCCGGCGGCCTCGATCGTCAGCTCTCGACTCACGAGCTCTCTCCGGGAACTTTCTCTCCGGCTCCTAGGCTGCCGACGCCTGCGTCTGCGAGGCGGTGGCGCCTCTCTTCTCCTCCCCTGCGCCCGCCTCTGCCCTCCCTCCCAGCACGTGTACTCCTCCCCTGGGGCGCACTCGCCGGCACGCTCCTCCCTGCCCCCAGGTGGCTCAACTACTGACCGACGCGACCCCCCTTCTTACTCCCCGCCCCCCATGCCCTTGCAACAGGAGCGAGCCCTTCCTCTACCCTCTGAGACGCTGCAGAGACGAACAGGTAATGGCATTGTCAGGCACACTCGGAACTGGGGTTTCTGCAGAGCAGTCGCTTCTGTCTGAGCTGCTCACGAACCCCAGGTGACCCGAGGCCCCCACCACCTCCCCGGGACGAGCAAATGAATACTCGGAGCAGCATTAGCACCCGGCGCCGGCTCGCGCCATCACCGGCTCCTGTAGAGCTCCGGGAGCTGGCGGGAGCGCGACACTGATTTGCAAAATGCTCGAGACGTGGCGGGGAGAGAGAGCCCAGAGTTCTGCGGCCCCGTCACCGAGCCTTACTGCTTCGTAGGGCTTTCAGATTTTTCGTGGGGGGTGGAGGGGATGCTTTTTTTTTTCCCCTCCCCCTCTCGGATCGACTTAGTGTAAAACGCTTTAAAATGGAGCAGTAAGGCAGCTAGAAGCTGAGTGGAATCCAGGTGCAGCAGGTGGAGGGAACTTCAGCGGAAGGACCTCAGTCCAAGTGGGTTTGTGTCAGCCTCTGCCCCATCCATCTCTATGTGGGTGAAGGCTCTCCTACTTTACTTTGGATATGTGGTCAGAAGGGACCAGTCCCTGGAGAAGTACATCATGCCTGGTAAAGTGGAGGGTCAGCGGAAAAGAAGACCTCCAATGGCATGAATTGACACTGTGGCAGCAACAGTGGACTCAAACAATCATAGTGAGGATGGTTCAGGACTGGTCACTGTTTCATTCTGTTATGCATTGGGTAACTATGAGTCGAAACTGACTGATGGACCCTAACAACAATAACATGGGTTAAAAGTCCACTTACAATCCTTTTGGGAACAAACCGAGGTCTGGTTAATGAAATAAACACATACCCACTGTTCGTGGGCTCTGTGCCAAGTGCCAGCTAGGGATCAAAAACAAAACAAAGTGGGTAAGACCCAGGGCCGGCTCTCAAGAACCTAAAATCAAAGAGCAAGCAGACACTGCTAAATGCCTTTCATTAAGGGGGGGGGGCGTTGGAAAAGGTGCTGTTTGGCAGGATGTACATTATTCTCTCTTAACTCCAAAGGTGTCCCTCAGGGCACCTACCACTCAGGCCCACCCCAGCCCTACTGAGTCAGAATCTGCATTCTAACAAGACCCTGGGAGATTAGTGTGTCTACTCAGGTGTGACAAGCCCCACCCTTTTGAGCCTGTCCCAATGCCTGGAGCTGGTCACCACCTGCATAATTCCCTTTGGGGTGAGGGGACTGAGATTTTTCTGCTTTGTTAGCCTGGCACCGTTCACAGGCACCTAGAGGGCCAGGGGAGGGAACAGGTCCTTAATTATTTTCAGCAGCCCTGTTTGGGTACCTACAAAGGCACTGAAGGCATGAACACAAGATTAATTGCAGAGGAAATCCCTAGAGAAAATGAAATGGAAAAGGCCAGGGATGGCGTTCTATAGAAGAAGAAGCCAGGGTTGTTTTCAGATTTGCCTGAATATTGAACCTCACCCTCCAGAGGGGTGAGCTTTATGGAACTTGTCCTCCAGTGACCAGAAAGGCCCTTTTGCATACTTTTGCAGAATTTACTTCTCATTGTGCTGTAGAAGATCGTGTTCATTAACAGCAAGTAAAAGATCATAAAACAATATAAACCATGTCACTCGGCAAGCTCACCAAGGATCCTTAGTACCAAATTGGAACCAAAATGAGAAGATGCTGGTCTCCTATCTTAAGACGATGTTAGGGTCATGCTAGTTAAAACAACTCCAATAGACCAAAATGGTATTGTTACTAGGATTTAATACTTTCTTAAAACCTTTATCTGTGGAGCTGGCCCAGTGCTAGCAAGAATCAAAATGATTTCATCCAAAGAAGTCTGTAGGTGTCTGCCTTTAAACATTTAGCCAGCTCTTTAATAGAACGTTTCTCGTTGATTTTTACTTTTTTCCCCCCACCTGCTTTCAGTTAATAGTTTAGAACTCTTGGAATAAATTCACATGCACAAATGGATTCCTTTTATTTGACAGTTTAAAAAGCAATTTGCTTGAAATCGTACTTTTTGCTTCATTTAAATAGTGCCCATTACCCGATAGCCTGGGCTGTGGTGCTAATGACTCACCCCGCAGAAAAGTGAATTGAGTTTTATGTACTTTTCAGTCTCAAAGCATTCAGGAGCATTTTCCATATCAGCAAAACCTTAGGGACACGCAGAAAATGTCCCTTAGGAGGGACCAGTCACTGGAGAGGGATATCATGTTTGGTAAGGTGGAGGGTCAGAGGAAAAGAGGGAGACCCCCAGTGAGATGGATTGGCAAAATGGCAGTGTCACTGGGCTCGAGCGTGGCAGCAATTGTGAGGTTGACCCAGGACCGGGCAGTGTTTTGTTCCGTTATGCATGGGGTCACTGTGAGTCTGAGTCGGTACAGACTCGATGGCATTAACAGCAATGGGTCTAACTGCAGTGTGTCTGTTCCTCCATTGGTCTCTGGATTGGAAACAGTGGGAGACCAGCTGGGCATCAACCCAGTTGTAGCCATTTCCCTAGAACCACTGGGTCTTTGGGAAATGGGTACAATGATCTTTTCCCTAAAAATCCTTTTCTATGAAATGAAGAGGCTTGCCATTTAGTTACTTTTCTTACACAGGTTTTTAAAAGATTACTAAAATTATCTTCTCCATGCCATCGAATTCCTCCTAAAACCAAAACACGAAGCTATTGAAACAATTTTGACTTGTGGAGACTCGGTAGGACAGACAACTGCCCTGTAGGGTGACCACGGCTGTCAGATTTCCACAAGCAGACTGTCACATCTTTCTCCTGGGGAGTGGCTGCTGGGTTGGAACTGCTGAGCTTTCGGGCAGCAGCTGAGCACTTACAGCACAGTGCAACTCCATCTTTAAGATGACCAGATCTGCCAGCAGGAGAAAGATGAGGTTTTCTGTTCCCGTAAAGAATTACAGCCTTCCTACGAGTCGGAACTGACTCCCAGCACTTTTAACAAAAAAATACAGGCTCGCAATGAGTCAGAATCAACTCTATGGCTCACAACCACCATCCGCCAGCATCTAGGCAGTGGTTCTCCAACTTGATGGTGATCAGAACCCTCTGAAGCTCTGCTCAAAACTCAGTTGTGGGGCTCCACCCCCAGAAATTGACTCAGGAGGTCCAGGGTATGGTCTGAGGCTCTGCATTCCTAACAGATTCCCAGGGGTGCTGCTGCAGCTGTTGGTGGTAATCCAAGTCAGAGAACCCTGGTTGCGCAATGGTCAAGCACTTGAGTCTAACCAAAAGGTTGGTGGTTTGAACCCACCCAGTTGCTCCTCAGAAGAGGGCCCTGTCAATCTCCTCTTGAAAAAATGGAAGCCAAGAAAACCGTAGGGCCACTCTGCTGGGCCTCAAGGACTTGCTCTGAGCTGGACAGTGACTGGATATCACATAGCAACAGCAGTAACACACAACCTGAAAACCACAAAAGCTCATGCTTCTTGTCTCTCAAAGGCTGCTTGTGTGGGAGGGGCGTTCTTCTCATTATAATCACTCAGGGGTCTGGGTGCTGTGCCTGCTGTTCAGAGGGTCGGGGGCAGCTCAGCAGGACCTTGCACTGGCAATGGAAGGCTCTGGCCCAGAGAGGAATGCTCACAGCCAAAGCGAGTCAGCTGACTCCAAGGAACTCAGGAGCTGCCATCCTTCGGGTGACTCTACCGGCGCCATCTTGATCCTGTCCCTCACCCCTAGAGTCCCTGGTGTGCCTCTCCTTTACAGTGCCAGCATCCCACTGCTTAGTGATATGATGAGAGGAGTCCTGCTCCCAGCATTGAGGACCTCTGGGCTGGCCATCTGTACCATAGCTCCACACACAGTGCCCAGCATGGGCAACCCAGTTGCCTCCAAGTCCACTCTGACTCCTGGAGACAGACTAGAATTGTGCTCCATAGGGTTTCCAGTGGCTGATTTGGGGGAAGCAAATTGCCAGGCCTTTCCTCTGAGGTACCTCTGGGTGAACTCAAACCTTCAACCTTCCACTTAATAACTGAGCAGCACACTAACCATCTGCACCACCAGCGACTGCCCAGCACACTTGTTGTTGTTGTTGTTAAATGCTGTCAAGTCGGTTTCGACCCATAGCGACCCTGAATAGGGTTTCCGAGGCTGTAAATCTTTACAGGAGCAGATCGCCTCATCTTTCTCCCGTGGAGCAGCTGGTAGTT